CTCTAATTTTCAAAGTTCTTGTTCTATTCGAGTCTCTTTTGATTTCTTGTTTTTCAATGGATGACGATTTGAGCATTTGAATACTTAAGAAAATTTATACATGAAAAACTAAAAAAACCAGACTTGTTAGAAGTATAAGTATCTTGTTTGTTATAATCAAAATAAATGAAGCTATATTAAATCATAGGTCAACAGATATGTCATGTTCTACCCTATGTTTATGAGGATGATGTTGTGCTTATTTTTGGAAGAGTTGTATATTCTTGCAATGTGATTGATCACATTGTTGTAGTAGAAATTTTTATACATTATGCGTGTTTAATTTTAAAGTTTCAATTTGTGTTTCCTCTCATAGATTTGTGCTATGACAAGTGTCAAAGTTGGATGTTTCGGAAAGAGCATAATAGTGTTAAGGGTAAATCCTAAATCGAATAAAGATATAAACAATAAACGACATATAAGGGCTTAAGCTAATACTTTTAATAAGGTTGATACTTGAAAACGATAAAACATCTTAGTTTTAGAGGGTGCTTAGTGGTGATTAAAATTAGATTTTTAGTGGATTGTGATAGAAATTCTTGAAATGTGTGGTTGAAAAGATGTGGGACCTATGAAAGATATGGTTAATATTGATTGTTTGACTTTGATTTAAATTAAAATCAGATTTTAATTCGACCCAAACAGACTCTTAATATGATACAAGAATCTATTAAACTCAAATGAGTAATCCGATTAACACTCAAACGAGCACACAACATTCAAAATTGATATGTTTAAACGAGCAGTCATCTTACAGAGAATTGTTAAGAATAAATCCCATGTCCAATAGATATGAAAAATAAACAATATATAAGAACTTCAACTACTCTTAAACTGTAATTACTCTCGAGAGATTTGTCCTTGAGTAAACTATTATGGAGCTTGTTCGAGCAATTAACAATTTACATTATCATTTGAAAGATCCAAACATTTACAACAATGCATTTCCTTGCATATAGAGAAGTTGTTAGTTGTCACATCGAATTTGATTATCGTAATTACTAATGACATAAACAAAATTTTACCAAGGACCTGATAGCATATATTATTTTTCTTTTTCTTTTGTTGTTGAATCTCAATATGATAGGAGAATAAAAATTTACGATATATTAAGGGTATGATTCACACATAACTACACAATAAATTAGAAGCGTCAAAATGAATGGACCTATCAAAGTCACCCGTCTATATCCAAACCTAATTACATCGACTATGACTCCAACAAGATTTCATAAAATTCATTTATCATTTAAAATAAATTGCACGGATGGGTCATCAAATCTCAAACATAGGACAGCTGTAGACAAATGCAACAACCAAAGAATATCTTTTAAGTTTTAGCACATTCTCGTTTAACATATTTGTCCATTTCTACACATATTTCGCACTTCCCAACCAATTTTTGATAGGTCAACCTAAGAAAAAGACCAGATTTCCTACAGTACCAACTCCTGCAGTTCCCCCTTTTACTTCTAGGTTTTAATAGCCCTTATTTTTAGCCCATGTTTACGCGGATTATTTAAAATTTATTTTTTTTCTCAAATTTATATTCACTAACCTATCTTTTAATAAAATAATTTTACATATAAATTCATATTTTTTTCTTACTTTTTATTCGCACATATTTCAAAAAAATTACTTTTCACAAAATTCATTTTAAAAAAATCTACATCAAACATACCCTTAATAATATAAAGTAATGTAAGAAATAGGAGTTGTTAAAAAAATTACGTCAAACATGCCCTTATAAGTATAAAATAATGTAAGAATAGCAGTTTTCAATCAAAAGTAATATCAAACTCTCTACAAAAGCTCGTTTCTATGTTGACTTATAAACTTAATTAAAGAGAAATTAGATGATTAAATATGTTTGTTTAGGATTTCTAAAACGATTTGTCGCTCAAGATAGTTGAATGATTTAGGTATGAGAACATGTAATGTATAGATGTTTTGGTTTATAAGAGTAATATAATTTCAGTAGTTCCGATTTAACTCAAATAAAAGATCAACCCTTGTTTGACCAATTTTTTTTCTCAAATTCATTTTCAATCATACACTTATAAATAATTTTGCTTCTAAACTTATAATTTTTGTCCTACTTTTCACTATACATTCTAAAAAAAAAAAATCACTTTTTATAAATTTTATTATGAAAAAATATCCACCAAACGGGCCAATAATATGAGAGCTAAAAATAAAAAAATAAAAAAATTAACATTCACTTAACACGATTTGTAGAATTATTTATATAATTAAAACATATAATCACACGATAAAATATTTGAATGTAAACTCAAAACTTTTTCTAACAATTTAACCACGTATTCTTCAAAAATTTACTATTCAAAACTTTGTTTTTGAATTTTAAAGGCTATCAAACAGAGCCTGAACTAAAATTACTTTATGCTAAAATCAATTTGTTCCAACTACCGCAGCAATTCAAACAGCTGCATATGTTAAACCTTACATCTACTGCAGCAATTACAGGAAGGCCTACAGTAGGGATCTGCTAGGAAGTAGGAACCACCGCCCGGCGATGGTTCTTATGCACTGAAATATGCTCCTCATCGCACTCACTGTCGAATCAGTTCTCCATTTTATTCCACACTCTCTCTTTCTCTCATAGTTGCACTCTCTATATATGCAATCACGCACTCATCAGTTTGATCTTAATTTTGATCTAGTGTTTGTATTAATTGTTTTTTATTGCAAATGCATAACTTGGATAATTTTTTAAAGAATTTGATTGCACTTAATGCCGATTTGGGATCAAAGAATAATTTGCAGTTTGAAAGTGTTGTTGGAAGAGGTGGGCTGTTTTTGGAAGAGTCGGTTCCTGCATCATTTGTTTCTTTGGTTTCATCGAGTAAATCGATTTCGGTGGCGGTTTCGTGTTGCCGGAGGAGGGGGAGGAGCCGCCGGAGAGGGCGGCTGATCGGCGAGGGTGGATTTTTGTCGGTGACACTTTCGTCAATTAAGGATGGTGAAGAGTTTGGTGCGGAGGAGTCAGTGTCTGGTGGCGATGTAGGAAAAATTGAGGAAAAGAGCGGGGAGAGTGAGAATGGGAATGAGAGTGAAACGGTGGCGTTTAAGGATGTTGTTAACGAGAAGAAGGGGAGGCTGCACAAAGGAGGTGGTACTCTGAACACTGCTAAGCATCTCTGGGCTGGCGCCGTTGCTGCCATGGTCTCGAGGTTTGCTTCTCCCTATTTATATACGCCTTTATAAATACAAAAAGTATATGATACAAGAAATGTTTGTTATAAGCAGCCTGTTGTAGTAGTTATTATTGAAAAAGGATAATATTCAGTTCTTATTAGTACATGCAATTCTTGGTTTTGATAAAAATCAGGTTTTTAGTAGATTTTTGATAAAAAATTAATGAAATGTGTGGTTGAAAATGAGTTTGGAGATAAATAAGTTTTAAAAATGGGGTCGTTTGTTATCTTTCCTTTACATTGGCAGCGTCTATAAAGGCATTGTGCATTATGGCAAAAGGACACTAGATGCTTAATGTACT